CCCACTCGCTCATCTGGGCTTGCCGCCAAGCTCGCACGAGGTGACACGGGTCTCACAACGATGCTGCCGCCACCCATTCCCCGGTTTGGCCCCGTTTCCCGGACGCTACCCGGAGCCCTGCGGCGTCGGCCGGTTTAACATGGTGGAAGTCCAAATGCAAGCAGCCGAAGGTGGGGAGCGAACCAGAGATCACTCGCCTTTAAGCAGGCACAGGGAGTGCAAGCTCTGCAGCGTCGGTGGGACAAGATTGGCTGCTGCGCTGGCAAAAAATGTCTTTTCGCATGCAATATCGGTCTGGACACCGGTAATCTCACATATCGTAAGTCTTAGTATACTTGACAAGGTAGAATAGCAAATCGGCTTGATCTTCGTGTTTCAACGGAAGCCGGCTGGGAACTGGATGAGTCATCTCACCGGACACCGAGAACACGATTCCTCACCGACCTACCGAAAACCTCGGCCAACTCAACTTCGCGTTTCGGTCTGGTCGTCCTCAAAACTCCGCGGCAGCTACCATCACAGCGTATCACGTATTAAAGATCAATTTCTCGCTTCGGTCCGCCAATTCCCTCATTGAATCTTACGAAATAACGGATCTCACGCCACGCACGGCAGACAAGATGTTGACTCGCGCGCTCCGGTCCGCGCCGCGGCGGCGTGCTGCCCTATACCTCTCATCTTCAACGACACCTTCAAGGTTACCCCTTTCACAGCCAATCCTCAAGCAGATGGCCTCATTATCAAGCACATCCGTCCGCTCAGCATGCAGTTCGAGCGCCAAATCAAGACCCTCGCGCTTCCCGGCGCCGGTAGCTCCTGAGAAAATCCCCAAACTCATCCATTCGCGTCCTTCGCACCGTCGCTGCTCTGCGCGCCCACACTGCGCCCCTGACCCGCGACCACCGCACCCTCTCCCTCGTGCCCACGATGGGCGCTCTACATGCCGGCCACCTGGCTCTCATTCGGGCCGCCGCTCTCGCGTCCCACAATGTCATCGTCTCCCTCTACGTCAACCCGGCCCAGTTCGGTCCCAAGGAGGACCTGGCTTCGTACCCGCGCACCTGGGACGCCGACGCCGCAGCCCTGGCCCGCCTCTCGCGCTCCCTCGCCGACGACCCAGATGTCCTCGGCAAGATCTCAGCCGTGTTCGCGCCCTCCACCGAGGAGCTCTACCCCGGCGGCTTCCCGGGCCAGGACGTCGACTCGCCGGGCTCCTTCGTCACCATCACACCCCTGGCCGCCCGCCTCGAGGGCAGCTCACGCCCGACCTTCTTCCGTGGCGTCGCCACCGTCTGCGCCAAGCTCTTCAACGCCGTCCAGCCCCAGCAGGTCTACTTTGGCCAGAAGGACGTCCAGCAGACCGTCGTCATCCGTCGCCTCGTCCGCGACTTTCTCTTCCCCACCGAGGTCGTCGTCGTGCCCACCGTCCGCGAGCCCGACGGCCTCGCCCTGAGCTCCCGCAACGTCTACCTCGGCGAGAGGCGGCGCGCCGCCGCGACGGTGCTGCACCGCGCCCTCCAGGCTGCCGAGGATGCGTACGGCGGCGGCGAGCTCGAGGCCGGGGCAGTCCTCGCTGCCGCCAGAACCGTCACGGACAAGGTGACTGCCGAGCAGGCTGCGTTGGCGGCGGAGGATCGAGTTCGCTTCGAGGTCGACTACATCTCGCTGACGGATCCGGATACGATGGAGGATATTGACGCTATTGACCCTGCGAGGGGGGCCATTCTATGCGGTGCCGTCAAGATGTTGCCGGTCGAGGCGCCCAGGGAGGGCGAGGATCTCGGTTTGAGTGGAGGTCCGGCCGTGAGGCTGATAGATAACATTATCCTGTCGCCAAAGGCGTCCTGAATGGCTGCCTTGCTGTTTTTGTACATATATCTGGGCTCAGGTCGTTTTAATAGAATGGAGGTGACACCACAGAATGGTGTTATTTGCAGCCATGCTGCCAGACTTGCCTAGGAAAAGAACGTCATTCCTTTTCACGTGAGACCAATCAACGCAGCGTAAAGCAAAGTACAGTTACATTGGGTATTGCCATGATAGTGCCTGTATAGGTGGGTGTACATTAACATCAACAAGCATCATTGAGAAAGGAAAGCTCGCTCTGCCCGCCTACAAATGCGCCCGCCCGTCAAAGCTCTTCCTCTTCTTCCTATCCTTCAAGCCCTTGATGAAGATCTTGGAATCCTCCTTGCTTAATCGACTCGCGCCCTCCTGTCCCCTGGCCGCCTCGAAAAGCTGGCCTCCCAAATGATCCGTCAGTCTCAGCACCCTCGTGCTGACCGTCGCGCCGTCACGCCTATTCTTTCCTTCACGTCGACTGCTGGCGATCTTCTCGGTAAACTCCCACAGCCGTCCGTCGGCAATAAGTTCACCCGTCGCAGGGTCGCGTGATGGCTTCCAGTCTGGGTTCAAGCGCAGGCGTGGTGGGACCTTGGGGTCCTTGGACTTGACTACTTGAAGAATTCCCTCTTCCTCGAAACGCTGGTAGGAGTTTTTGAGCGTTTCCTTGTTGACGGCTTCGAAGTAGCTCAAATCACCCTGGTGGTAGAGTGTTTTTCCGAGCTATGAGGAGTTAGTATAAAGCCGTGACAGTGAGCGTCAAGATGGTGCTACTTACCAGCTGGGCGCTGCTCTGCGCCTTGGCGACCTCAATCCAGATGTCCTCCTTCTCGTCCAGAGGCTGCGTCAGCCCCATGAGGGATACAGCCGCCAGCCAACTCGCCTCGATAAACGGCCAGATCAAAAAGCAGTAGAAATCGTAGTTCTCGCGGCCCGCTGCCCGCTCCTCGGCCGACAGACCAATCTTGACTGCCTTGCCTGCGTCATCTCTCTCGGCAGTGATAATGTTATCCCTCTCCAGCTCATGCAGGCTCTTTTCCAAGTTCGCTGCGAGGCCCTCGCTTGGGAAGATGAACTCTCCTCTGAACAGGGAAGAGAGGAACTGAATTTGAGCCAACAGTTCCTCGATAGGGATATCCTGCGTCGAGGGGCCGCCGCCCTGCTTGACCTTTGTGTACATGGCAGCACTGACCAGGGCCTCGGAGATGAACAAGTGGATGGTCATGTTGCGGTAGAACGACAGCTGGAAGCGGTCGACGGCAAAGTATGTCGGCTCTGGGAGGCCACCGACGACACCGACCAGATCTTTGCCAAGCACCTCCAGGCCTCGCTCGATGATCTCCGATAATGGTGCATTGCCAAAGTGAGCCACGCGGCCACCCTTTGCCCTGACGCGATCGGTGAGCCATTGCACACGCGTCTCGAGCTCCGTCTTACCAACGCCGCGGCCTCGTAGTGTCAACAGGATGGTGCCGATCAGGGCCGTCGGCATAACGACAGACACGTCATTGATGTCGGCGAGAACCTTGTATCCGAGGGTTCGGAGGAGCTTCAGCCGAATGCCGATATTCTCGGGGTTCTTTACATCCAAGCTCAATCCCTGAGGCACTTTGGCAATCTTTGTCAGCTGCTCGTCAATGAAGCCGCGAAGGCTCCACGGCTCGTGGAAACGCACGTCAACGCGGCCAAGCTTCAAGGACAGCACGGACGAGCCACCAGTTAGGAAGTCCGCTAGGTTCTCCTTCTTTTTGGGCACGCCGAGCAGTTCAGTGACGTAACTCTCGGTCTCAATGACCTTGTCGTACTGTGTGCTGACAGGGCAGATGATGGCATCCTTGGTTCGTCCAGAGAGGATACTGTCGAGGACAAAACTGAGAATACCATACTTTGGTGGCAGCAGTTTTCCTGTGCGTGAGCGGCCACCTTCGATGAAGCACTCGAAATTGAAGCCCTGCTGCAAGAGCGTATCGATGTAGGTCTGCACCAATGTTGTGTACAGTATATCGTCGCCAAACGAGCGCCGGATCCACATAGCGCCAGCATGCTGGAGGAAGCTACCGACGGCAGGGAAATTGAGGTTGTCGCCAGCCACAATCGTGGGCAGCGTCAGTCCCAAGCGATAGCAAATGAGCTGCAGCGAGACATAGTCGACATGCGACCGATGACACGGCAAGAATATGATGCTCTGCTTGTTCCGCTGGGCCTCCTCAGCGACCTTTCTCAAGCGCAGAACCTCTTCGCTCGACACGTGGATACCTTGATGGTACGCCCGAAGCGTCAGTTGGGTCGCGAAGTAGTATGCGCCGCGGATGAACGTCTTGCTCTCCATCTTGCAGATCATGTCGTCCGTCATCTTCTCTGCGACCTCTTGTATTCCCGACTCGATGACTGCCCGCCTCTGCGCCCGCTTCAGCGCATAGTCACGGTCATTTCTGCTCAAAAGGCCCTCCTTCTCCTCGACAGCAATGCGCTTGTCGGCGAGGTCGCGGATACGGTCCTGCAGGAGCGGCGCCGACAGCACACAGTCTTTCATTCTATCGCTGAAGCCATTGTAGAACACGGGTTGGCCGATAGGATTGTCGTAGGCCCGCCAGCCGGTGCCAGAGACGTAGAGGGAGACTTCGCGGAGGAATTGTAGAGGTTCAGAACGGAAGCGCGCCATGTGCTTCATGAGGGCCTCCTCCTTCTCATTGTCGCGGGTATTACTCGGCTTGAGATAGCCGCTGGGTTGGAGGGTGACATTGTCGCCGAGGATCTGGAGGTCGGGAGCAGAGGTGCTCGTGGGGTCGTCGTCTGCCATGATGGGCCGTGAGGGGACGGGGCCGGCTGGGAGTTGTGTTCAATGCGAGGTAGACAGGCCGTGCCGGTCGTGGTGGCTCAGACGTCGTCAATTCGCTGTGATAATGGTGTGAGCAAAGCCGCAGCCTGGAAACCCCGAGTTGTTAAAGGGACTGTCAGTCTCGCCACCATCATGGGGTGAGGAGGGCACGATGCAGGGGCCTCGACATTACAATGGCATGAGCGTTAAGAGGTAGCGGTTCGTCGTCAATGCCTGGCCCATGCTCGTGCCAACTTGCCCGCGCTGCCAGTGCCGAGGGCGGAAAGTGGACCGTCATCGAGCCGAAGGGGCAGGCACGGGCCACCCCCGACATGTGAAGCTGCGGGCAGGTGCGGGTCAGTAGTTCCTGCTGTGCCTGCAGTGCAGGCTCAGTAGCTCCTTCCCCACTGTCGTCAGTGCCAGCCAGGTCGATATTTTATTTTGGCCGAAAGACTCACTGCTAAGGAACCCAATACCAAGAACAGCATATCCCATTTGCCATCTGTCGACCAACCTGCACCATACCCGACGAACACCCGCACCATACACATTCCGAAACATCGTCATGCCTCCAGATACCTCTGCCGAGTTTACCCAATCGCTTCTCGCGCGCGCCCACTCCCCCGACACCGTCTCCCGCATCTACACGGAAAAGCTTCAGTATCGCAACCTCCATCTCCGCCCAACATCTCCGCCACCACCATCCAACGCGCGGAAAGCACGCCGTCTCGCCCGCGAAGAATACAAAGCGCGCTCGAAAAAGCGACCCGCCCCCCTCTCCTCACGTCAGCGCCGCGCCCTCGGTCTTCACACCATCCCGCGCCAGGGACAGAAGTACGCGACCTACGTGCCGCTGCACCGCCTCTGGCTCGGCTACGTCCGCGAGATCCTCGGCGGTGAGGTCTACGGTGGACCTGGTGCCGCTGCCAAACTGAGCGCTGCCGAGTTTCACGGGGCTGAGATCGAGGTTGTGCGTAGCAATTGCCCCAGCCGTGTTGGCATCAAGGGAATTGTCCTGAAGGACGCGAGGTTCACTTTCGAGGTCGTGACAGCGCAGAACAAGGTCAAGCTTGTTCCGAAAGAGGGGACCATGTTCCGGGTTGAGGTGCCTGTGGCGGACACGGAAGAAGCCACAGAAGCTGCTGGGACTGCGATAGATGCGCCACCCGCTGCCGCTGCCGTCTCGTCCAGTACGTTTGCCTTTGAGATCATGGGCGACCAGTTTCTTGTTCGCGGTGCCGATCGTGCGGGCAGGAAGTTCAAGTCCCATTTCTTGAAAGATGTGTGAACGGTTTCAAAGAAGAGTAAGGCTAAATCTTCACTTGACGACGACCGCCCCTGTCGCCATTTCCGCCTCGCTCGGCAAAGGTTCATCAGCACGGGAACAAATCGACTACTCAGGTCAGCGCGAATCTGAGGGCAGAGGTAGCGTGGGCGGTCATCCTGCCATAAGCCCGCGGTGTTTGTGTCCGTCGCGTTGTCTTCAGCACGCGTCTGTCGCGACGGCCCTCCTGCTCTCAAATATGGCTTTGACGCGCCAGCAAGTTATATCAAGGGTCATATCAGCCTCTGGTCGACCAACCAGATATTTTCTTGCGGCGATCGCAACTTAATGTGCGAATGGTTATAGGACGCTTCAGCTCTAGGTCCTCGCTATGTGGTGCCCGCTCAAGACCGAACGTTCGTCACCAGGAGAGATGATGTCCCATCAGCCGCGGGACTACTCAAGCAAGGCTTGCAAACTGCACTTCGATGGAGCCGAGAAGGACTAGCGACGACAGGATCACGTGTCAGTCCGTCCATTCGCACTCTAAATCAGGCATCAGACCACTGTCAGCCTGCTGAGGCAGCACAAGCGAGGCTTTCTTGAGATTGCTAACGCAGCGAAGGATATACCTGCTGAATTGCAGAGAATGGGTCGTGGGTATCATATCGGTGTGCTTTCAAGAGCACAATGTAGCAACGGCGTGCTGCTCTTCATAGCTTGCAGTCATGACATGAATGATGGAATAATGTCCCCCTTCGTGTCACCCTTTCCCTCCGCCGTCTTTCGGGCTACAGGTCTCCGCCGTCTGTCGCTTGTCTGCCGGCTCTTGAATCGCGTGAAAATGTCATCCTCCTCAGACTCGGACTCCCGCTGATCGTTGGTGTTCTCGACCATGTTTGGTGCCATGGTCACAACAGTCGCACTGTCGCCCTTCGCCGGCCTTTTTGCAGGAGCCGGCTTTGCGTGTCCAAGCGACAAGCTTGCCGCTTGAAAACCAGTCGCCTTCGATCTCGACGAAGTAGGCTCTGCCAATCGTTGCGGACTGAGCCTCGATCTCGCCGGCGCATCCAAATCATCTTCATCCTCATTCGCCGTGTCCTCCGGCCGCGACCTCTTCACAGCGCCCTCGCCCGCAAAGATCAGCCTACGCTGGACCCCTCCCTCTCTATCCCAGCTGGCGCCCGTCCTTCCAGCGCTGCTTTCTGCCCTCGCGAGTGCCGAGATCCTCACCTCCCTCTTCCGCGGACTGTCCATGAGCCCGCGAAGCGACGACCCCCGCCAGAGCGCAGCGTCCTCTCCCTCCGTCTCGCCGGCCTCGTCTCCGTCGCCGGCGCTGGACTGCCTGAGCGCCTGCTGCTGGTTCTTCTTCCTGAGAAGGTCCTCCTGGCGGCGCCTCGCCAGTTCGGTCAGCGAGCCGACGACGGGACGGGAGATGTCGGCAATGGCATCTGCGTTTTGAGAGCGTGCCTGCGTCTTGAGACGGTGGTACTCCGCCGCATGGAGGTGGGCGGTGAACTTGCCGGCGATGACGAGGAATTCGTCCTCGACCATGCGGTAGATGTCATCGTGATCGTAGCCGGGAATGAGGAAGCTGGCGCGGGGAGGGTTGAGTGCGGTGCTACGCTGATGAGCAGGAGGAGGCACTTACGTTTCGGGGATTGGCTGGGGCGGTGGTGATGTCGATGGAGTGCGGTCTAGTTGGCAGGCCGTCAGGAGAAGTAGACGGCGGATGGGGCTGGGGACTCATTACCCGGATGGCGAGACGCGCTTCTGGCGGACGCTGTCGGTTTCCTCTCCGAAGCGCGTGAGGTGAGAGCGTGAGAGAGCTGTGGTGTTTGGCGTGCCGGTGTCCTGGATGGTGCTGGTGACCTCGGGCTTTTCGATTCGCTCTTTCTTTCGCCTTTTGTTGGTTTGACAGAATCCCTCGCCCCATGGCAAAACGTCGCGTCATGTTCGGGGGGTGTTGGGTGGTGGGGGGTGAAATGTGAGGGGTGGATCGTGTGTTTTGGTGGGTGAGCGCGACCACCTCACGAGCTGTCCGGTCGTTACCACGAGGCCCCAGACCAATTTCTGTCGCAATGACTACGCTCTATCGACGCGGCTTGCTCAATTAGTAGAAAAAAGAGTGTCCAGTTCTGATGCAGCAGGATTTGGTCAAAACTTCAAGGCAGCAATCGACAGTGACGTGAAGAGCATCTCATACTTGTTTAGTCAGCAAAGTCGATTGCTGCCTGCCCGAATGTTGTAGCAACGAGGGCCCTTGCAATAAGGTGCTTTCATGAGCAAGAAAATCAGGACCTACCCAGATAAATTTCATGAGCACGAATGTCTACATAGAGATACCTTTTTCAACCTGAAGCATTGATGCTGCAGTGTTAGACAGATCGTGTCGTCATTACATACACGTCTAAGTTAAGGACGTATAATAAGGCTTCTAAAAGTGAATATATGATGTTTGAAATTCAACCAGCTACTGACTTTGAGCTAAACGAAGACGGGAAGCTACATGTACACATAGTAAGTGGCGGCAATCGTGGCATCACAAGTATCTATACATCCGGGTGAGCATAAGACCGCCAACAATCATCAGCAGCCCCGAAAACAGAACCGCCATGCTGAAGTCCCGACCATCAGAAACGATGGCATACACGGCACTCGGGCCCGCGAAGGCCCCCAGCCCCATGATGCTGTTCAGCAGTCCGACCTTGGAAGCCAGGTCCTCGGCCCCGAACAGGTCCGACATGACCACCGGAATGAGACTGACGAAGCCGGACCCGAGGAGGCCAACAAATATGACAAACAGCGTCATCAATGCGACGGGCTTCTCGTCCTCGTCCCCAACCATGACGGCCGGCAGCCAAAAGATGACATGGCCGACGCCGCAGAGGACAAAGCTCGTGATCAACGCCGTCAGCTTGCCGTACCTGTCGGCGAACGAGCCGACAGCCAGACGACCGATGATCGAGAGGCCGTTCATGAGGCCGAGCAGCCAGGCGGCGTACCCCTTGTCAATGCCCTGCGACACGGCCGAGGCCGGAATGATGAAATACCGAGGCAGGAACCCCGTCATGGCCACAGTGCCTGAGACGAGGATGACGAGGAAACGGGTGTCCCGCAGCAGGCGGAGGTCGATGAGCTTCCGGCTTCGGGGCCGCGGCCGCCTCCTGGCCTGCGTGAAAGCAATACAGGAGAAGGTCAAGACACCGGCTGACATGGCGGCCAGCGTGCGAAAGGTGACTGGTAGACCCAGCCGTTGGATCATGATGCGGACGGAGTACGGACCAATGCAGCCTCCGAGAGCGCCTCCCGAGAGCACTACCCCGTTCACAAGACCATGGCGTCGGAAGTACTGCCCGGAACTACTGACGGCAGGATAGTATACGAGAGCTGTGCCGAGACCGAATGCCAATCCTTGGGAGAGCACGAGCTGGTAGAACTGGGTCGAGAAGGACGCGGCAAAGAGACCGCCGACGATGAGAATAGACCCGGAAATCAGGACGACCTGGTATCCTACCACGTCGGCGAGCCGTCCGGTAAAGGCACCGAGGATCATGTAAAGGCTGGACGACAGCGAGCCAATGATGATGATCTCAGGCGATGGCTTGTTGGGGAACAGCGTCGATTCGTAGTATTCCTGGAAAACACCAAAGGAGTTGGGCATACCCACGGCGATGAAGGTAATGCCAAAGGCAGCTGAGAGAACCGCCCAGCGTGATGCCCCGAGCCGATCATGGGATTCTGACGACTGCGCTTGATCGGTTATGCTCTGTATCTCGCTGCCATCCCGCAGCTCATTGACCGACGTCAAAGTCTGTAGCTGAGTTGCCGACATTGTGATTGACAGTGTGTAGACATGCCGGAATGATGCTGGTTTCCAGAGCTTTCATTGCAGAGCACTTTCAGCATTGTGGCTCATGGTTTTGGGTAGACGTCAACCCCCGATCGATTACCGTCGGCTATTCCCGGCGCCTGCACACACGTACGGAGTGAGGACGCCAGTCATGTCCGGGTCCGATCAACGGACGGCCAGATGAACGCAACGCCGAGAACGTAACCGTCCCGTGACTGCTCTTACGTACGTCGTCCCTTTGGGGAAATAGACAATACCAATCAAATGGTATGTGGGAAAGCCAGGTTCCAATACCTCGGCATCCGCACCAGCGGATATTTTGTGGCATTCAGTACAGATAGAAGAAGAAGCTGGTGATCATGGACTCGCCATGGCGAGCATCAGCTCCCAGTGCATGCCATCCAGGTCGCCAATGAAAAATAAATTGATCAACATGTCCACTTCCTATGACAGTGAGCCCGACTCTGTGCTGATCAACAAGACCCCGGAGGGCATCACGACCATCACCATCAACCGCGAGGCACGGCGCAACGCCGTCGACGGCCCCACGGGCAAAAAGCTTACAGACGCCTTCCTCGCCTTCGAGGACGATCCCACGCAAAAGGTCGCCGTCTTCCACGGCGCCCACGGGACCTTCTGCGCCGGCTTCGACCTGCACGAGGTGGCCAAGTTCGGTCAGGGCGGGTCCGGCGGGTCCTACGGCGGCCCCCTCGTGTCCCCGGACCATCGCGTCGAGGGGCGCAACATCGGGCCCATCGGCCCCTCGCGGATGCAGATCAAGAAGCCCGTCATCAGCGCCGTGTCCGGCTACGCCGTCCGCCGGTGGCCTCGAGCTGTCGCTGCTTGGGCGAACCTGCGCGTCGCTCGAGGAAGACGCCGTCTTCGGCGTCTTCTGGCCGTCGGTGGGGCGTCATCGACGCGGACCGTGCGCTGCAAGCATTCATCGCCTCGGTCGCGCCTCGACATGATCCTCACGGGCCGGTCCCGTCGACGCCCGAAAGGCCCTGCAGATGGGTCTCGCGAACAGGGTCGTGCCCAAGGGCCAGGCGCTGGGAGGAGGCGACGCAGATTTGCGAGGCAGCTGCTGCTGTTCCCGCAGCTCTGCATGAACACGGACCGGGCGAGCTGCTACTACGCGGCCTACAATGCTAGTTCGTTTGAGGACGCCCTGAGCAGGGAGTTCGACGAGGGTATCAAGGTCGTTACGGCGGAGAGCGTGTCGGGCGCTGCCAAGTTCAGCAGTGGGGCTGGCAGGCATGGTGCTTTCGAGAGGCCCGAGGACGGGGCCAAACTTGCTTGATGTGAGGCTATGAATTGCGGCATCGCAGTTGATGTCAATTTTGAAAACTCACTGGTAGTTGTGGATCCTGATAGTTGTGGACTGTTTGGACTTCTGGGAATCTCATAAACTTATTGCCTCGATGCAGATTCCGCTTGAGATTTCAGCGACACCAAGTCGCATCGATTTTTACGAAGAAACTGCTCCTTACTTGAAACGCTTTCTTAGTATTTTTTCTCACGCTCCACTTTCGGTGCCCAAAAAGGATGTGGACTGGAAGGATCGTCGAGCCGTCTGCTCATGGAACCATTCCTTTGAGAACATGTCAGAGCAGTGGGATGAGCCGGGTGAACAGGTCATCCGCAATTAACTGTGACGCAGGTAGGGTGGTCAGAATACATCTGAATTTCAGCCCCCCACAGCTCTCCCATATGTGCTCTCGTGGTCATGGGCTTCTCCTGAGGTACCCTGCACTTTGGCTCCGGCGGTGCCTCTCTACTGCCTCCAAATCACAATTTGAATGAGATTATCGTTGCGAGTTTTTATGAAGACGTGCCTTGAGCAACTGAAGTGAACAACTGATGAAACACTGATAAACAAATAATGTATGGGATAATGAGACATTAGTCTGATTTTGGCAGCTGAACCCTCCGCAGGTGATACTCTATTGGAATTAAACTCTACGACTTCGAGTAACCTGGTGAATATCACATAAGCAACGAATGGCAGGCGCATGCTCAACTCCCTGTTACCTGATTTTCTCAAGAAGATGCTGTGGGAGAACATCAATCACGAACGGCACTGAGGCACCAGGGTATGAATTCTATTATCAGTCCAAACTCCATATCATCCCACAGTTCAATCAAAACATTCACATGAACAGTCCGAAACTTTCATACAAAATCCCAACAGGCATCAAACGTGATCCCGAATTCGTCCCAAATATTCAAACCCGAAACCCCGTGCAAAAATTCACTCATCACAGACAGTCGTCTCTACTTCCGCCCAATGCTGCTGCCGACACTGCTTCCAATGCTGCTCATCTTCTCGCTCACCACGCTGCCAACCTTCTCGCCCCATCCGCCCATCCACTTGGGCACCTTGAGGCTCATCTTCATGCGGCCCTCCACCATGATATTGATGACGTTAAGCACCGCAAAAGTCGTGCTGCCGAGCGCGCGGAACAACGCCAGCGCGGCGACGGACCACAGCAGGAAACGCAGGTAGTAGTTTTCACCAATGCCGGTGGCCGAATAGACTTCGCTAACGGCCATGGCGAGGATGGCGTTGGCAATCATCCAGCTCACGACCATGTATGTTCGCACACTGCGGTAGTAGTCTTCCTGCAGCTGAGACTCGCTGGGAGGGGGTGAGTGCACCTCGACACGGTCCCTGAGGTTCCTCAGGGCCTCGTCGTACCCCGAGTCAATGTCGAGCTGTTCGGAGGGAATGTCGAGCTCGACTGTCGTTCCGCCACGCTTGCCAATGGCTCCGCCGAGATCTGTCTTCATGACGTTGTCACCCTTTGTGCCCCAGGTGACATCGTGGGTGTTGCAAAAGGCATACACCTGGAGGGTGCAGATGCTGAAGGGCAGGAGGAGGTAGTACTGGACAAATGAGGTGATGAGGTGCCAGGGCTCGAGGTACATGAGGGACATGATGATGTAGAGACCAAGAGTAGACAGCACGGAGACGATAATGTTGGTGAAGACGTTGCTGCCAAGACTGATGTTGTCGTGGGAGAACTGGTAGACAACGATCCAAATGGTGGCAAAGGAGGTGTACATCATGATGATGACAAAGATGATCATGCTCGCCAGGTAGAGTCTGCTCGCGCCTTGGGGACGATTGCCCAGAGAGAGGATGAATTGCGTGGCGATAAGGAGGGCACAGGTGTACCGCAAGACGGTGAAGATCCAGAAGCCGGCATTGTTGCCAAAGGGGTCGACTTGTGGATCAGCGAGACCACCTGCGACGAAGTAAAAGGTGAGGTAGAAGTTGGCGAGCGAGAAGTAGGTAAAGAGGAGCTGCAGCAGCTGGTAGAACGACTCGATGTTGAGAAGAATCTTCCGGGCGAGAGTGTGGTCGGTCGTCCAGACCTGCTTGAAGTGCACGAGCGAGTAGACGGCGGCGAAGAAGGCACCGTTGAGCCAACGGCGGCGCTGCGAGATGAACTCGGGCACGCTGTCCGGCACGTCCGTCTCTCCGTGACAGCCCTTGACGTACTTGAGCACCCACCTCTCGTCCCTTTTGGCGACGAGCTCCCAGCAGAGGATACGATCCTCAGCAAGGTACATGTTGGCGGTGAAGACGTCGGCGTGCTGTCCATGCAGCGTCTCGCCCTTGAAGTACTGACTTAGTGGGCCATGGCCCGTCTCGTCGTTTTGCAGCGCGTGGTAACGGTATGCGCTGAGGGCACCGGGCAGCACAGTAATGTAGCCAAAGACGGACTCGAGTGGCTTGTCAAGAATATTGGACATTTTGTACTCAAAGTTTTGCGAGGCGACAAGCGGGTTGAGCAGGTTGCGTCCAAACTTGCCCTTCATGGCCTTGATCTCACCACAGGCGCCCGCCACGTTCGAGTCGTTGTCGAAAGCCTTCCACAAATGGTACAGCGAGTCGCCACCAGGGCGTGTGCCGACGTCGAGCAGAATGCACACGTTGGGGTTGAGTGATTTGCCGAAAGCGTTGAAGAACCATCTGTGTGAGTTGGGCTTGCGCTGGTTCTTCTCTTTCAGGCAGAAGATCATCTGGCATGGCACGATGCCCTTCTCGGCGCCCTTGAATTTCAGATCGGCGTCGAGAGACACCTGCGTCGTGTACTCGTACACATGGGCCTGGACGGCCTTCTGGTTGACAAAGTTCTTGGCGATACCGTCTTGGTACACACCCATGGCAGCCAGTGCATCGAGGGTCCTCGGGTGAATCTTTTCACGACCATCAGACACGATGCAGACGACAATCTTCTGCCATCCGAGCTCGCCCCACGTACGCGACTTCTTGCGGCTGCAGAAGTGTGATACGTTCTTCATGACGGCATGCATAGTCCGCGTAAAGTCAATTTCCGTCTCGTTGTACATGGTGATGCAGATGAATAGCTCTGTTTCACGAGCTGTCCGGCCAATGGTCTGTCGCAGCTTGTACCCGCGGTCGACAAAGTCATCCGGATCGCACGTCACAGCCGTGTAGCGCATGTGTGTAAACTCTACCTCGTCGCGTCGCGGCAGGAAGCTGTAGAGAATGGTAGGGATTTTGCATTCGAGGACAAGCTCGCCGTTGATGAGCTGGACTTCTTTCCTTGACATCTGGGGCGCGCGAACGCCGCGACGCTCCTGCTTGCCATCAGGCGCTGGGCCATAGTGCCCCTGTTGGTCGGTCTCTTCGTCGTCATCGTGCACGTAGTCGTCTTCTGGATCGTCGTGCAGAGTGTCCTGAGATACATAAGAGTTCTTGCGGTAACGGCTGTCGCTGATATCCGTCTCGGGACCAAACACATCATCTGGATCGTGGTCAAGGGGGATGGACACGGTGACGTCGTCCGCAAAGGAGGCTTGCGAGTCGCGCGCCGAGTTGGAGAACAGCGGCGCAGGAGGCAGAGGCCTCCTCGGGCTGCCGCCGTATCTTGACGAGGGTGTTCCAGGACGCGGGCTGCCATTGAGGTCGGATGGTTCGTACATGGTGGAGGGGGGCGGGCGAGTGTAGTCGTTGGACATTCTGCTCCAGGGTCTTGTTGGCGAGGATCTCGTTGGCGATGGTGTCCTCCTCTCACGGCCCTGGAAGGGAACGTATGTGGAATCCGGGGGTGGCATGGCCGGCGGATCGAGAATGGTGTCGTGCCTCGAGTAGTCCGACATGATGGAAGGCTGGTACGAGCGTCGCTGGGATGGTTGGGCACTAGAAAGATCAGATTGTGAGCCAGAGTTCTCTATGTTTGGGCATGTCTGTGGTGCAGGAAGGCAGCTGGTCGAGGGTTTCTGGAGGGCACTTTTCCTCGCAGAAGGACCCTCAGGGATAATGGGCAGGCTGGCCCGGACACCTACGCAACCCAGCAAGTTGGGTTGGGAGTGTGATTTCTTCTGCAACTTGACAGTCGAAGCACGCGCGGGTTTGGGCTTGGGCTTAGGGAGTTCTTGGTGGCTGCGACGCGTGGAAGGAGCAGCCTGCGCATCAACGGATTTGGGGCTGGAGGGTACATGGCCAGCTTCCTGTCGCTTCAGGGCATCGAGGTGCTCTGGCGTTGTCCAAGTTGAGCTGGCGTCTTTCTTGAGCGACAGAGGCTCGGGGTAGAGGTTGGCATCTGATGGAGTGCTGTGCTTGACTGTGTGCTCGGGGGAGGAGGGCTTGTCAGGAGACCTGGGAACATACGGGCGAGCGTCGTAGGGATCACCTTCCACCGACGTCAACAGTCGGATGGCGGCAGGATTGATGTTCTGGTGATGACCAGGCGGCGGCGAATCGTCGTGATCGTCGTAGGAGGGTAGGCTGTAGTCGGGAGGACGCGAGCCTGGGGTGCTGGGACCATCCATGGCGGGCGACTGTTTTGTAGGATCGTGGGACGAGATGGTTTGGCAAGGAATGTTGATGGCAGAATTGGTGTCTCAAAAAAAGGGTCGAAGGGAGTGCTTGCCACTTCAGGTCGCCTTGCGCTGGAGAGGAAGACAATGTCAATAGCGAGCCGGCTGGAGGAGTGATGAGCGGACGAGGAATGTTGGTCCCGGTTGGCTTATGACGGGGGGCCAGAGTAACAGGAAGAGGGCGTGTCGATTTAAGAGGAGGCCTAACACGGCCAGCAAGGAAGGAGCTGCTGGCACGACTACCAGACAATTGCTGTCAGCCTTCGCGGTGACGGTGCAGGGCAGGCGCATACATGCACAGGGCGAGGGGCAGGCACCAGGGCACCAGGGCGTTTGTGATGTTACCCGTCGCCCCGGCAACCGGGCTCCATGGGAAGGCGCTTCGTGGGGCCGGCCGCTGCACAGGTAGGTGGGTCGCCCCTAGCCTCGCGCCCTTCTTCCTCCGTCGTTGCTGTGTCCCCTCACTTGGGTGACCTCTGAAGCCTGAACTGGGCAAAGGCCAATCGACCAGCGCTGTTCGGCTCGATTGGCGACCGTTAGACGCAAACTTTGCCCATCTCGACGTGAGTTGCGGTACGACAACAGGCGGGAAACAGCCAGCAACAAGCACAACAGAGTTATCGATCTCGATCCAGACTGCATGTTACACCACGTACACACCAAGTGGAAGCGCTGTAACAATCATGACGGCACATTCCCTTTTTCTTGCCGCATCGGAGCGTGAGGACTTTTTCGCGTCGTAGTGGAACTACAGTTTGATTTTGAACGGAGAGGTGCTGAAGTCTCGTGGACGAACCTATCTAAAGGTACCTAAAGTAGGTACTCGATGTCTGATGAGCCTGCTGGTTAGGCCTTGAGCACCTCTTAGCAGACAGGCATCTCAGCTCTAACCCC